GGCATGCATATTGTCACAGATATAAAGTGAGTGATCTGTAGCCTTTGATCAAAACAATTAGTCTTGACACTCAACCATGGCACAGTTGCAAGATGAGAAGGGAAATCTGACATAGTATAGGCATAGTATTATTTAAATGATTCATCTATTTGATTCTTTAAGTATACCAACTATTGAAAACATGCTTTATGGAGGAGAAAAAAGGATTGGCCCTTGGTCACAGTTCTCTTAAAAGTGTTTAGAAGACTGATTTCATAAAATATGTCTTGGGATATGGGTATGTAAATCATTTTGACAGATGTCTCTTTTGGAGTGGTACAAAGGAGCATGTTGGCTTCGTTTTTTAGAAGCAAGAATATCACCATCAGTTTAATTCATCTGAACATCTGAAGAAATTATTTTTCATCTCCCAGTAATGCAGTGGTTCTCAACCTGTGGGTCCCCAGGTGTTTTGGCCTACAACTCCCAGAAATCGCAGCCAGTTTACCAACTGTTATGTTTTCTGGGAGTTAAAAGCCAAAACATCTGGGGACCCACAGGTTGAAAATTACTGCACTAATGGCTATTCATGGCTATCCACCTGGCTCCCTGGGACAGACTTGAACTACATTTTCCAACACCTCCCATCTTTAGCTAGCATGACCTGAGATCATTATAATGAATGTAGCCCAACACTTATAAGGGACACCAAGTTGCAGTAGGCTCCACTTGGGTAAATAGCTGTGGAAACCAAATAAATGATCCATGTAATTTGCTTTATTTAGAAAACAAATAAATGGTCCATGTATTTTTTTTGAAACCGTTCTTATTGATACTCTTATACTTTTAAAAGTTCTAACGTCAGCAGTTAATTTATTTATTTCCAACATTTCTACTTCTCAACCCCAGAGAGGGGACTCAGAGCGGCTTACACTGGCAACAATTAGATACCGCAACGTACACACAAATATAACATTATAACAACAATTTAAACGATAAATAAAACAGGTTAAAAACAATTTAAAACAGTTAAGACAGAGAGACCACTCTTTAATGCCAAAGTACAAAATTAGTTAAGCTTTAGAGTCTTCTTTTGGCTCACTTCAGTGATACTTCCGAAAATAGTTTTCTGCTGCTCCTTCTCTGCTGTATTGGAAGAAAAATCTGCTTTGCATGTTCCCAGAACTTTGTATCTTTTTGTTTTGCATATTCATCTTTAGATGGAGCGTGTGTGAAGGCTGTAGGCGGCTGCGTGGCGCTTTTGTAATGAGCACTGCAGCTGTTCTGCTAAATACCTTTTGCTCTTCCATGGCTCTGAAAGTACTAACATTTTTCTATCATTTGGAAAGTACTTAAAATCTAATTCTGATTTTGTGCATTTAGAAAGGTGTTGGGGTTTAATTCTAAGAAAAGGGCATTTCTACTTAGATTTTTTAAAATCAATAACTGTTTTGGGGTCTTTAGGATTCACGCTAACAATAACTGGGCTGATAAGCGTCAGTCTTCTAGCCTGGCTATCTTGCTTAAGGCCGTAGCACTGTACAGTACATGTTGACATGAAAGAAAGACTTACTGATTACTGTAAAACTTGCTTGTGGCTAAACATACATAGGAATGGAATGTAAAACATTTATATATTTTTAAAACATAACTATTCTACTTCCCCCTGTACTCAAGGTTCATCATGTCTCAAACCTAATTAATTTAGAAAAATTAAATAAAGCAGTACAATATATAATAATAATAATAATGATAATAATAACTTAATTTTTGTATCCTGCCACCATCTCCCCAAAAGGGCTCGGGGCAATTTACATGAGGAGAAGCCCGGTCAAACATAGGTTAAAACATAGCATAGTGAAATTTATAAAAGCAACAACATAAAATAACATCAACAAACAACCAGTGGCCTGACAATGAGCCAAATACTAAACTCGAGCGGGCAGGGCTTGTGCAATACAATTTCAAGGACAGGGCAGATGGAAAAAGTGCAGGAGCCAGATAATAAGTTAGAACTAGAAGGGCATAGGGTAGTTGTGAAAGCAACCAAAGTATGAAGTTTTCTTAGGCTGTGAGATCACTGGTCTGTTTAACTGAGGGGTATGAATTCTGACATCAGCGGGTGACTTTGAGGTTGTCCTTTCTTGGGGTTGCCATGAGTTGAAATTGACCTGACTACAGTTAACAACAACACCAAGAAGGACATTTGGTTCTCAGCATGGTCCAATATTGATTCAATAACCCTTTACATGCAAAGCAAATGCTTTGCCACTGAGCTAATTTTGTTTTCTTTAAACAGAGGATCCCTAAATATAATATTGTGCATTTTATACTAGTAAATGATTGGAAAATGAGGGGAAAGACGGCTTGGAACTCAACTCTCCCTATTTGGCTGCAGCTGTTAATTTCTGGGGCCACAGACCTTCCATTTCCACATCCCCATCATTCTTATTTATGAACTGGCTCCAGAAACTGTCTGTACTATATATAGAGTGTACTCTTGCACCACAGCTCCAAAAGAGCCTGAACATTCTGTGACAAAAGTGCTTTTAAGAAGGTGGCTATTAGCTGTAAGGTGAGAAGAATAAAAAAGATTGCCCCCATGTTCTCATCCAGCTACTGTGTCTTCTAAAATAAAATGTGGGTGTTCTGCCTGACATAAAGCATGCTACAGAGTTGTGGGAGAGGAGCAGGATAAGTATCACTTGATAAATGTACTATGATCATATATATGTAGGAAACTTTTTGTACTTTATTTTAAAGCTCTTGGTGCCTTTCTGGAGAAATGTGACTTGGGGCTACAGGCACTTTTTTTGTCTCTGCTGCTGTCGCCATTTTATTTATTTGTCAAAATACTTGTTTCTTGCTGTATATCAGAAGATCTCAGTGTGGATATTTAAATCCTGTGAAACCATGTAACAGTTTACAATTTTTAAATGACTGTAGAACAATTAAACACATAGAGCCTTTCATCCTAATCAGGCCAAGATTTGTCGGTCCCAAAGAGCCAAGTTTTAAAAAGTGGTATTTTCACATATATTTCTTTATTTTTTATGGAAAACTTGTAAAATGCCGTCGTAGAAATATTAGTTGTTCAGGTTGCCCACTTTTTCCTGTGTCACAGCAAGATGTTAGAAAGGGTTGTGTGCACTGTTTTTGCCTTGATATAACTGTGTTTCATCCTAGAATGCAAATATTTTAGCAGTTTGTGGTTTTCAAGGATGTCTTCTAGACTGTATTTTAGTTTTGTCTTCATTTAAGAACAAATGTCAGCTATTGAGAAACATATTTTGTGAGAAGGTCTCTTGGATCTGCTTTAGTCAAATAAGGTCACGGTTTATAGAGTCTTTCAAAATCTTTATCATGGTGTTGAGAAACAGGCATATCTGTAACCTGGGGCTACAAACATTAATCATTTGAATGACCTTGGGCTACATTGGCTCTCTAAAGGTCTTCTAATAGAAATATCACATATCTTTGTCAAATGGTGTCCACTGCTAATCTCAAATTATGTACACATAGTTTGTTGTGAGTGCATGCATGATGATTTTTCAATGAGTACATTATTTGTCAATGGCAGCTTGTCATAGTGAAATTTGTTGGGAAACTTTCCATAAAAATTTCCACTAAGGGATCAAATGCTATCTCCTTTTCAGACTTGAAGCTATAAGATCTGAAAACACCAAATAATTGCATTGCAGTAAAATCGGACTTCAGATTGAATATGTTTGTGGAACATTGTGGATATCTAGGAAGGGGAAGCAAAGGGAGGAAGATCTTGTCTCGTTTTTCTTCAAGAGGACTTGCTTGTCAGATAAATTTTGGAGAAATGGGCAGTTCATACTAATCTTAAAAGGATTGTTAACTCTTCAAGGCAGTAGGAATGAATGGGGACCTGTCTAGAGACATTGGTCACCCTCTTCAAAGGAATGATTAATTGGAACATTGTTTTCTACAAATTTCCTAGCATTTTTATCTTTGGAGGCTCTTATTTCTGCTGGTTGTAGGTTGTCCTTTTGTTGTGTTTGTCCATGGGCCAGAGCTCCATAAAGAATGTGATTGATATAATCTAGAAGTAGCAGTAGCATTTTGGCATGAAAGTATTGGCGATGAATAGTTTTCATGGAGGACATCTTAAGTGTGTACTAAAAAAAAAAAGGACACAACCATATCTTCTGATTGTCCATTGATTTTATGGTTTAGACTTTGAAGTCAGGGTCAAGAAAGTAGAAACCAGAACCTATCTTCAAGACCACATCTCCTTCTATGAACTGGCATGGGCTCTAAGATCTGCCAGGGAGGCCCTTCTCTTGGTCCCACTTCCGTCTCAAGTGCAGTTGGTAGGGACGAGAGAGAGAAAGCCTTCTCGGTAGTGGCCTCCCGACTTTGTAATGCCCTCCCTAGCCCCCACTCTTCAAGTTTTCAGAACTCTGAAAACATGGCTATTCAAACAGGCCTTTGGCCATGTTTAGAACCCTATCTGTTATATTTGAGGACCTAGTGATTTGTTTCATCTTAGCACCCGTGACTGATATTAATTAGAGCTTCAGAAGAAAAGGAGGGCTTCATTTGGTTTGTTTCAAGTATGCAGCTATCACAGTTACCTTAAAAGTGGAGGTGTTCTTACATTTTAACCAATGGACAAGGGAAGGGTGCAAAACACTCTTTTTCAAGTGCCTTTTGTCCAGTTGAAGTCATTTTTGGTATCTGAGCTCAGTTACGAAGTTTAGGAAGAGAAACCTCTAAGAGGCAAACTATGTGTGAAGGAAGCTCTGCATTGTTCTTCCACATATTGTGACTTTTGCTGCTAAAATTAGAAACCTGCATTCAAATTCTTCCTTTTTATATGATCTGGATAGTTCTGTGCCTCAGTATAAGGAACTGATGCTAGTTTGGTACTAATGGGAAATTGACCTGGTTGCAAATAATGCCTCTGTTAATTTTTTTGTACTGGTAGATTATTTATTGATCTGGTATCTGTTTGTTCATGTGTTGTAATAATGATATGGCTTATCTTTCAGACTAACAGGGATGCCAAAGGAAAAATATGACCCTCCAGATCCTCGCAGAATTTACACCATCATGTCAGCAGAGGAGATAGCCAATGGGAAGAAGTCCCATTGGGCAGAATTGGAAATCTCGGGTGAGTTATCAGATAATGATTCGTCTGTCAGGTCAAGTGGGCTGCTTGCTTCTCAATTTCCTTGAAGCCCGATACCCGTCTGCTCAATAATTATTAGTGGTTCAACAAGTGTTTGTTGGCAAGCTCATGCAGATTACCTGAAACTTTAATGCTTCAAGATGCTGGTAGATATTATTTGTGAACTGCCTAAAATTATTGTGGTGTGGAGGAAAGAATTTGAAACATGACTTTACAAGGAAGAAAGAACAGACAGAATGATTGAGAATAGGGGGGATCCTTTTTTTAAAAAAAACCAATTAATTTGTACACATAATACATGTAATACTCATAATTGCATTCAGTTTCAAATGTGAGTAGTTTCCATATCAATATAACATTGCTAATAATTACAGAATCATAAAGGATATGGAGGTGAGGGAGACCTTGATGGATTATAGCTCAAATTTATTTGGGGGAAGGAAGGAAAGTGGTGAGGATTATTGACTCACATTCATTTATTTGCCAAACATATTATGTCTCCCAGTTTCCCAAAATTTCTGAATTTTTAAAATTTCTATTTTTTAAAAAAAAAAACTATTATAAGGGGAATTCTGTGTTAGGTCTATTTGTGATAAGGCTCGTTCTTTGTGAAGAGATTTGAGGAGGGTTTTATTTAATAGTTGGTAGTGATGACACATACTTGCTTTTGTTGACATTTTAAGATCGAAATATAGTTTCATTTTGTTTTGAGTTCTTGTGGACAACTGCAACAATATATCAGTCCTTTCCTCATTTGTGACCTAAAATTGCAACTAGAAATTATTTAAAGTCTAACTGATGTCTGATTTTCTAATTAGCCAAAACTTCATAAGCATCTTTTCAAAATTATTTTCGTAAAGTATTTTTCTGCTGCTTCTGCCTTCCTAATTAATTTAACCCATAATTGGGAGACAAATAACCCATACTAAGAGAAAACAATCATCTTTAATGTTGAGTAATAGGTTCTGTAGGTGGGTCGAGGTGACTGAATGATTGATTCAGCTTCATTTGATGTCTGTTTTTCTTTCTTGGAAAACTGTGTCATATCAGTGTATTGTTGAAGGCTTTCATGGCTGGAATCACTGGGTTGTTGTAGGTTTTTCCGGGCTATATGGCCATGTTCTAGAGGCATTTTCTCCTGACGTTTCGCCTGCATCTATGGCAAGCAACCTCACTACCTCTGAGGATGCTTGCCATAGATGCAGCCAAAACGTCAGGAGAAAATGCCTCTAGAACATGGCCATATAGACCAGAAAAACCTACAACAACCCTGTGTCACATCAGTACTTATTGAAGTATGTAGACACACCTGCCAGAACCCTTAACACCCTTTATGTGGTCTTCATTTTAGGTAGAGTGCGGAGCTTAAGTACATCACTTTGGTCGCTAACACACTTAACCGCTCTCCACCTCAATGACAATTATCTGACTCGCATTCCGCCTGATATCGCCAAGCTTCAAAATCTGGTTTACCTGGATCTCTCATCCAACAAACTCAGAAGTTTACCAGCAGAACTAGGAAACATGGTATCTCTCAGGTGAGAAATCCGTTGTGTCCCCCAAAGTATTTGAAGAAAGATTTAAAGTAGTTCAGCTGTTGATGCATTTCCTTTGTCATAACTACAGGGCTTTTTGGCATAGTGTTGACTCTGAGGCTGCACTTTCAGCTGTAATAGTCGTGTTTTGTTGCAGGCATGAACAAACTTCGGCCCTCCAGGTGTTTTGGACTTCAACTTTCACAATTCCTAACAGCCGGTAGGCTGGGTAGGGTTTCTGAGAGTTGAAATCCAAAACACCTAGATGGCCAAAGTTTGCCCATGCCTCACAACCTCTGAGGATACCTGCCATTGATGCATGTGAAACCTCAGGAGAGAATGCTTCTGGAACATGGCCATGCAGTCTGAAAAACTTACAGCAACCCTTTGCCTGTGTGTGTTTTATAGTGTTCTTGTTATCACAAATGAGGAGCATTGGTAAAGAAAACAGCATGGAGAGAAGGATAGCTTTTGCTGCCTGTTTCTCAGAAGAATATCTAAGCTGATGAATGTGTTTTGAAAGATAAACAGAACACAAAATGTATAAATCCCTTTTAAGATGACTTTGCTAAGCTGATTTTATTTCCCCATGTTTATAGGGAATTGCTTTTAAACAACAATTTGTTACGAGTTTTGCCTTATGAACTTGGACGGCTCTTCCAGCTGCAGACACTAGGTTTGAAAGGTAAAGGATATTCTGCGTATATGCATGCATGCCTAATGCCAAATAATTTCTCCCTTATAATTTTCTTTTCCCTTTCTTCCTTCTTGTGCTATCTTGCTGTATCTTATGGTTCATCGAGATTTCTTGTAGGAAATACTCAGCATGCATATTTAGCCCATGGTTTTTCTTTCTTTATTCAGAATTAATAGTTAGAAAGTCATGAACTGTGTTTTTGTTTTCATGTTTTTGTAATACTCTTTTATTTTGATCTAAACTTCAACATCAAAACAGTAGTTTTGCACAACAAAACCATACATAGTTTCAGTTTTTATTGGCCCAAGTGTTTTTTCCTTTTGTATAAGATGATGTTCAACCTTATATAGGGATAACATGCAATACTGTTCTGTATTTTCTCCAGTTCCCCTAAGTATTTAGCAAAACAAAACAAAACAGTATAAGCAAGTGTGGGTTTCTTTCTCAGAAAACTGCATTGTTCTCTGTGTAGTAAAATACTCTTTTTATTGAAGAGGGAGCACAAATCCTCAAATCTTTGTGCAATTCTCAAAGTGTTCACTACAATTTGTAATAAAGTTCAACATGCTGTTTTTCTTCATGTGTAAGTTTCTGAAGGGGTCAGGAACTAGAATCAATCCCGGTCAGGAAATGCATGTTTTTCTCTTCTCTTCCATTCCTATTTTGATTTGTCAGCTTAAACTGTATTTCTGTAGTCGTGCTTTAAGTACACAGAACACACATATGTTCATATTCTTTATTCCCCACATCTGCTGTTTCTCCATTGTTTATTTTAGATAAGAAGCCTCTTGAAAACAGCAACAGATGCTTTGTTTGTGTGTCTCTGAAGTTAACTTTACACTTGACACTGATAGTGTTATATAAACAAATAACATAAAGCTCTATTACATACACAGAGCATATGTACACACATACAATGTATGTACATTTGATACAATTCCCAGGGTAGAACAATCAACAGAACAAACTTGAGTTGAAAGATAAACCATCATGTTTTTCCTCTTGTAAGAAGAGCCATGTTGGATTACTCTGTTTACAAAGTGGTCTCTGGGAAGCAGGATATGAGTGTAATAGCATCATTCTGCTCATGTCTCCCAAGAATGAGTTTCAGAAGCATACTTCCCAGTTGGTGTGGCTAACATATAACTATTGTGACTTTTAGTAATTGACAGCCTTATTCCCCATGAATCTCCCAATTCCCTTGTAAATCCAAATATGGAGTATGTATATGTAGTATGCTCAAATCTTTGTTATCTGTTGGGAAACTCACAATTGTGCGATCCTGGAGTCTAGTATTACAAGAGATTGATGTTTATTGTGCTTGGCTGAATTATTTAGTCTTTGTATTGTCGAAGGCTTTCATGGCTGGAATCACTAGGTTCTTGTGGGTTTTTTCGGACTATAGGGCCATGTTCTAGAGGCATTTCTCCTGACGTTTCGCCTGCATCTATGGCAAGCATCCTCAGAGGTAGTGAGGTCTGTTGGAATTAGGACAATGGGTTTATATATCTGTGGAATGGCTGGGGCGTGGCAAAGAGCTTTTCTCTGCTGGAGCTAGGTGTGAATGTTTCAACTGACCACCTTCATTAGCATTTGCTGCTGCGTTTGGTGGTCCCTATATAGACTTGTCCACAGCTGCATGGTATACGGTAGACTCCTGCAGAGGTGAGAGGATCCCTCTTGTCCTTTGCTGAACGTAGCAATTGTTGGATTTTCTTGGTGGGTCTGTAGATAGTTTGTATGTTGTGTTTCCTCATTACAGACCCACCAAGAAAATCCAACAAATGCTACGTTCAGCAAAGGACAAGAGGGATCCTCTCACCTCTGCAGGAGTCTACCGTATACCATGCAGCTGTGGACAAGTCTACATAGGGACCACCACACGCAGCGCCCAAACACGAATCAAGGAACATGAAAGGCACTGCAGACTACTTCAACCAGAGAAGTCAGCCATAGCAGAGCACCTGATGAACCATCCTGGACACAGCATATTATTTGAGAACACAGAAATGCTGGACCACTCTCACAACCACCATGTCAGACTACACAGAGAAGCCATTGAAATCCACAAGCATGTGGACAATTTCAACAGAAAGGAAGAGACCATGAAAATGAACAAAATCTGGCTACCAGTATTAAAAAACTCTAAAATTACAACAGCAAAACAGCAGAGAGAAAACAACCAGGCACATCTTAACACCTCTCAACAAAAGATTTTCCCAGGCTCAGCCAGGCCTTCAAATGCTAATGAAGGTGGTCAGTTGAAACATTCACACCTAGCTCCAGCAGAGAAGAGCTCTTTGCCCCACCCCAGCCATTCCACAGATATATAAACCCATTGTCCTAATTCCAACAGACCTCACTATCTCTGAGGATGCTTGCCATAGATGCAGGCGAAACGTCAGGAGAAAAATTGCCTCCAGAACATGGCCTATAGCCTGAAAAAACCCACAAGAACCTATTTAGTCTTTATTTTGCAGGAGGTGGTAAGGAGTGAAAATGTCCCCCAAAGAATATGATCTTCACTACATTCCTCCCAGCTATCTCTGGGGGGGGGGGGGCGGCAGAAGGGAGTTGAAGTATTTAAATATATATATTTGGAGATTTTGCAGCTGCAACTATATAAAAGCCTAGTAGCATTCCTAACTGAGGGATATTTTTGTTTTATAAAGAAAGGGGGAAAAGAGGGCTCCCCCACTGACTATTTTAATCTTTCAGCAAAAACCAATCCTGTCTACAGTCTGGAAGACTAAAATGCTATAAGGGGATTTCTTTTTGTTTGAAGGGGACTTTAGCTGAAGCACGAGTCAACTCTTCTTTCTGCTTTCCTATCCCTATTCCAAAGTGGAACTTGATAGTTTTAAGTCCAGCTTTCCAGTTGGCTCATTGATCCATGTGAAGTATTTTGCTTAGGAATTAAAATATTGTGTCCTATGTTAGCTTGTTTACAATTCTGAGATGCTTGGTTAGGATATAAATACTAAGTCAAGATATAAATACTAAAAATAAAGAATCACAGAGTTGGAGAAGGCCTCAGGGAGCACTTAGTGAAACATCTTGCCAAAGGCAACCTAACAGATTGTTATTCAGCTTGTGTTTAAACTGCTCCTGCAAAGGAGAGTCCGCCACCCCTGATGTTGTCCATTCTGTTGTTAAACACTATTTACAATGGGGAACGTTTTCCTAATATTTAACTCAAATTTCCTTTCTTAACATTTAAATCTGTTGGTTGGAAGCAGTGAAAGACAACTACTCTGTCTAAAATGTGGCAGACCTTTAAATGGAAAGTGGCTTTTTTAAAGAAGTTCTCTTCTTGGTTAAATGTGCCCTATTCCTACCAGCTCTTTCTCATAGGACTTCATTTCGAGATCATTGTTTCCCACTTCTAGACATTAAACTGAACTAATTCTAATTAATTAGAAAGAAGACTATTGTGCGTGGCTCCACCAACTGATGGTAAACATCTTTGTTTCTAGGCAATCCTTTATCACAGGATATTCTCAGCCTGTACCAGGACTCAGATGGGACACGGAAACTATTGAACTACATGCTTGACAATCTAGCAGGTAATTCCTTTTCCTTAAAAATAATGAACAATATCCACATTGTGTGTGCATGCACAGTGTGTGTCTTCCAAACACGGTGTGTCCCATTCTTTGGAAGCGCTAATTAACAAAGACTCTTCTCTGTGCCAGGAGATGCTTGTATATCAGGAAACCATTCTCAGGTGTCCACATACATTGGTATATTTCGATGAGTGATCCATCTATTTCTTGACTAAGTTTCTTCACTGGAAGGAACTAATATCTCTGAACCAGTTGTCAATTTAAATTAAGACTTGGAATCCTGAAATGATGTTGGATTCTGTCTCCCATCAGCCCTAGTGAGAGCTGAGTGACATTGGAGTCCATCATGATATAGTTGTTCATTCTCATTTAAATGAAGGAAGCCAAAGAGAGAATTTCATGTTAGAAATGCATACCAGGTCTACTATGCTCAGAACATCTTTTTGGAGAGCAAGTCTTAGCACTGGGGAACAAAGTGGCAACTCTGCTTTCGAGCTTTAGTTAAATCTGCATGATACAACTATCCCTGAAATCCATTTTAGCTTCTGCAGACTCCTGGTATGAATTCTTTATTCCAAGGCACATCTGCATCATGAGGAATGTTGCATGCTAGTACTGGATCCCTTTTGCAACTGCTAATATTGGTGTAGACACGTTCATTTGATGTAGAGGGTGACATAGTAAACATTGCAAGCATTCCTGTTAGTGCCATGAAGCCTCTGAAAATTCTTTTTGGATTACGTTTGCTGTCTGTGTCAGACAGGCTTTACTTAATTGAGTCCAAAAGTAACTCCAAAATATAGCTGTTCTTAACCTCTCCTTGCATATTAAAATGAAGGGGAGAGAATTTTGTGTATTTGAGTTTAATTGTTCCCAAATAATAATTAAGTTCTTTCTGTGATTGGAAATCCCAGTGAAACTAAGGTTTCAAACTGAAAAGGAAATGAATTGTTGATGAACGGGTGGGTCTGTATCTAAAGACAACTGATTATTTTGACACCACCATTCGAATTCTGTACCACAGTATGAAATATGACTGTTGAAGATTTAGCTTATATGTTCTGCAGTTTCTCACCCTTGCTAATCTAAAACCTTTCTCATTTCAGTTCATCCAGAACAACTGCCTCCAAGGCCATGGATTACATTAAAAGAACGAGACCAAATTTTGCCCTCAGGTAATAATGGGGCCTGGCTTTTCATTCTTTAATAAGGTGCCATAAGTGGAGATATTATATGATGCAACTGAACTATGCAGAATAGATATTTCTCAGGCTATCTGATATGAGATACTGGCATTTTCCCCTTTATGTGCCAGGGACAGGTGCCACGCCTGAGCCCATTGGCTATGACTGCTTCTTTCCTTCCTGGAAACATACTTTAGACCAGCTGCTTTTGGATTGCATACTCAGACTACCAGAATGAATAGCAGTGGTTTAGAACACTGTTCCACTCTGGGCATTGCTCAGTTTTGGAAACAGACTTAGGCTTGGTTCATTCTTGTCTGAAGAACTCTAGATTAGCCCTTGCTGCCAGTCAGGGATGATAATTAGTGAGCTAAATGGATCAGTAATCTGTCTTAATACAAAGCAGCTTCCCGAGTTCCTCTGCTTTGTGTAGACTTTACTTTCTTGCTTTTAAAGAATCCCAATTCCTAGCTTTAAAAAGCATCTTGGAAAAACTGCAAAAAAGGATAAAGAACTGGAATCAATGATATTATTTTTATTACTGGTAAGAACCTATTCCTTTGTAATATTTTATTCAGTCTTGATGACAAATACAAAAATACAAGTGTACCTTAGTAACGAAAGTAGATGTTCTCCCAAGCATTGCTTCTTTAACAAAATGTAGAAGTATCATGGAAATAATAAGGATAGGTTTCTAAAGCACCACAAAAGGAACAGTTGAACATATGTCAGCAGACTGTTTAATTAAAAAAATAAATGTATCTATGTATGAAGGTCACAACCAGCAAATCTTTCATTTTGACCTTTTAGAGACACTTTGAAGGCTTCGTCCAAAATGTTACTAGGGATTATTTATCCTTCCAGGACCCTCCACTTTTTTATGGTTTTCATTTTGGTGACCAGACTGCTACACACACACACACACACATAATGCTTCACATAGCTGGTGAGATAGCATTATTTACTGTCTCTGCATACATAAATCGGATTTATAAAGTTAACAAAATCAACCTCTATTAAATAGAATCTGTGAAATGTGGCCTAGCCATTGATTAAAAAGATCAATACAATCGATTTAGCATCCCATCAGAATGTATACAATGCTAAAGTAATTGGCGATCAGTCTAGCTACTATCTTATACGTTATTAAAGGCTTGCTGGGGAAAAACAAGTTTTTTACTCTTTCCAAAAGTGCTGTAGTGTAGGGGCTTGCCTAAGTTCCCTAGGGAGGGCGTTCCAGAGTTGGGGGGCCACCATCAAGAAGGCCCTCTCCCTCTTCCCCACCAACTGTACTTGAAACTGAGGTGTTGCCTAGAAGAGGGCCTCCCTGGCATATCTTAGGAAGCTGGTGTTCATCTTGCCTCTTGTAGGTAGGCAGGCATGCACTGCTATAATAACATTGGGTAGAGGAAAATCAGATTCTTTTCCAGCTTTATTGGATTGTTTACTGTGGTAAACCCACTCCAATCTGAGACCAACAGTCTTTTTTCTTCATCCCTCCTTCTCCAACCTCTTGTTACTGCTTCTGCTTTAAAAAACCTTCCAGATAGAGAACAAGAGAAAAAGAGGGGGTGCTTGCTCATCTTTGAAGATCTTTGTAAAATGGAACTTCTAGGTTTTGTAGCAGAGGTATGCATATAGAGACACTTGACATTTTGCAAAGAGAGTTGTCTGCCCGCTCTATATATGGAATTTAACTGTGCTTTTGAGACAGACACAGAACATTTGTTTCAAGGTTTTGGAGGGTGATGACAGTAGATAAAGTCAAATTTGGAGGGACTCCAAAAGACCACCCAAGGTTTGTGCTGCCTCAGCAGCAAAGAACAGCAGGTGAAAGGTCTGAAGTGGCAGACCTGAAGAGGTGTGTGGTATGCTGTCAGTGGAAGAACTATCCAAGTTGTCTAATTCGATACATTTATAAAACTTTTATAAGAGCGATTCTTAGGAAACAGCTGGGGAAGATTTTCCTATGATGGTGATAATAGAGTTAAGCGCAGATCTTGTGCTCCTTTTCCCTTGTGCTAATCAGCAGATTACCTTATTTAAGAGGCCTATAACTATTAACTCTTGTTTCCAAACTAAGTCTAAGAGTGCATCTACTCTGTAGAATTAATGCAGTTTGACAGCACTTAACTGCTGTCAAATCCTGAAAGTTGTAGACACCAGCACTCATTGGCCGAGAAGGCTAAAGACCTTCTAAAACTGCACCTCTCATTATTCCGTAGCATTGAGCCTTGGTGGATAAAGCATTAATTCTACAGCATAGATTCAGTGAATTCTGGGGAGAGGAATGCAGTATGTGTTCAGTATAGTTAGTGCATTTTAAACGTTTATCTTTGGCACTGGCTTATAATGCATGTAGGCCTCAAACTAGACTATAGAATGGCATTTAATAAACAAAGAAGACCAGAAAACACTGCAGCACAAAGATAAAGAATTCATATTGCTTAAATTGCTGTTAAGAGGTGTGTAAAATACCCTCTTCAGAGTGAATGGTTTTATTACAAAGGTGAATACAACTAGTTTGTCGTCAATATAACATAGGCCCCTTCTACACTGTCATATAATTCAGATTATCAAAGCAGATAATCCAGTTCAAAGCAGACAATCTGGCAGTGGAGAATAAGGCTCCACTTGAAGAAAGATGGTTTTAACGAACTTTCTGGAATGTTTTAAGAAATGGTTAGTTTACACTGAAAGATTACAGTTCACTCTTTTGGGAAATGGCTTATGCAAAATGATGATACTTCTGTCAGAAAGTACACAATACCTCACCAGTAATTTACCTTTTCTTCCCTTCTAGCTTCATTTACTGTCATGTGCTACAATGTGTTGTGTGATAAATATGCCACCCGACAGCTCTATGGCTATTGCCCATCCTGGGCATTAAACTGGGAATACAGGAAAAAGGGAATCATGGAAGAAATTGTGAACTGGGATGCAGATATCATTAGTCTTCAGGTAATTGTAAAAATACAATTATTTTCTATCTGTATAATTCAATTTTTAAAATTCCAAGTACAAGTCTTGGGCATTATCATAGATTTCTCATGCTTTGTCCTCTGTGAAAACTCACAGGCTTCCATGTCTGTTTTTAATGTAAGAAACAGAAGAGCAAATACTGTATTTCGTCAAGTCTGAGATGCATCTTTTTCCATATAAACATCTCAAAAAATGGGGTGTCTTAGACTCATAAATAAATAAAACTTTTTTGTTGGTGGTGATACTCAAATTAGTGCGCATCTTAGAATCAGTGGTGTTTTGGAATAGATGAAATACGGTATTCCATCAAAATTAGTATATTTATTTACACCATTTCTACCCCACCCTTCTCACCCCCAGGGGGGACTCAGGGCGGCTAACAGAGGCAGCAATTCGATGCCACAATATCAATAACAACAATGTAAAATCATAATACATAGCAGATTAAAAACAGTAACATTAATTATAATCACATAGCCGCTTCATTTATTTTATTTTGTACATTTATTTTATTTATTTACCCTATTTATATCCTGCCTTTCTCAACCCCAAAGGGGACTCAAGGTGGCTTTACATATAGGCAACTATTCAATGCTTTAAAACATATAAAATTAAAATAAACATTTAAATTAAGAATTAAAATTAATGCACATTAAAACATAAAAAAACCTTTACATTCACTGTTAATCCACAATCGTAATCCAAAGCCATCCCATTAGTCATTGCACATAATCCGTATCTATTATTGCACTACTGAAGGCTTGATCCCAAAGCCACATTTTCACTTTCCTTCTGAAGGCCAGGAGGGAGGGGGCTGATCTAATGTCACTGGGAAGGGAATTCCACAGCCACGGGGCCACCACTGAGAAGTCCCATTAGTCTAGTGGTTCTAATCCTGGGGTCCCCAGATGTTTTTGGCCTTCAACTCCCAGAAATCCTAACAGCTGGTAAACTGCCTGGGATTTCTGGGAGTTGTAGGCCAAAATACCTGGGGGCCCCAGGTTGAGAACCACTGCACTAGTCGCTCCTGCAAAGGAGGTGGGACCGAGAGCAAGGCCTTCCCAGAAGATCTTAACCTACAAGGTAATTCATAGAGGGGAATGCATTCAAACAGGTAAACAAGGCTGGATCCATATTTAGGGCTTTCTAGCCAGTTCTTTGAATTGTGCTCGGTAGCAGACTGGCAGCCAGTGGAGCTGATGCAACCGGAGGGGTGTCCTTGCTCTGTATGGTACTCTGGTTAGCAGCCTGGCTGAGCCCGTTGGACCATACAGCTTCGAAACCGTTTTCAAAGGCAACCCCAGATAGAGCACATAGCAGTAGTCTATTTGGGATGTGACCAGAGCATGGAGTACAGTTTCCAAGTCTTATTTCTCCTACATACTTGACAAATCTATTTATCCTACATACCATTACACTGTTCGTACCCCACGAAATAGGCAGTTATTTTAGATGATTAATGGAAGTGTCGAGACTCTTTTAGGATTACTCTTGGAGAAGGTGCTGGCTATTATTTTAAAAAAAAACTTGAGGCCATATGTGAAAAACCCATACTTTAGATATCTCCCACCTGCACATCATTATAACAATGCCAGGAGCACTAGCATCATAGCGTTGGAAGAGACCTGGTGAGCCATCCAGTCCAGCCCCCTGCCAAGAAGCAGGAAAATCGCATTCAAAGCACCCCTGACAGATAGCCATCCAGCCTCTGTTTAAATGCCTCCAAAAAGGAGCCTCCCCCACACTCTGGGGCAGAGAGTTCACAAAAATGGACAGGCACTGTCCCACTTTCTTACCTGTTTTCTTCTGCCCTGTGTTAACCATGGATTCTTTTATTTCCAGGAAGTAGAAACTGAGCAATACTTCACCCTTTTTCTGCCAGCATTGAAAGATCGTGGATACGATGGATTTTTCTCTCCAAAGTCACGTGCCAAAATCATGTCTGAGCAAGAGCGAAAACATGTGGATGGTTGTGCAATATTCTTCAAAACAGAAAAGTAAGACGCTGTCGCTGTTTGGAATTAAACAGTTCACAGGAGATTAGTTTTGATAGTCTGTTGCTACAAAAACAATGGCACTTTAAAGATTCATAAAGTTTAATATGCTATAAGCCTTTGTGGACTTGGGTTCCTTTCACCAGATGAATAGCATGTGGCCTCATTTGGCATACATTTACAGTTATGCCCAGGTAGGAGGGAGATGTGGGAGAAATATAAATGACAAAAACATGGATCGCTGCCATAACAGTGATGAGTAACAAACATAATTTCTTGGTAACTTGCTTGCTTTTGTTTCAAACAACAAACCATGCAAGTAAGCAGTTAATAAATTAGCATCTGCTTTTGCATTGGCACATGGGAATGACATGAATTTGCTTACTTTAAAACACAGAAGGGATGTGTGTTGCGCCTTTAGGTTTAAAGCAGTCATTTTTTCATTTCATAAATAGGAGTTTGAAAATTGTTTTAAAAAATGAATTTTATTTATATTTTGATGTTCACTCTGATATTGTTATTGGGCTGTTTCAGATTCACATTGGTGCAGAAGCATACAGTCGAGTTCAACCAAGTGGCAATGGCAAACTCTGAAGGTTCAGAAGCTATGCTGAACAGAGTAATGACGAAGGACAACATTGGAGTTGCCGTAGTGTTAGAGGTGCATAAAGAACTGTTTGGGGCAGGTGAGTGTCAAGTGTTTCTAACAGAAAGATCTAAAGCTTTGTGAGACTGCTGCAGGGTGACTTTTAAAAAACTCTTTCAGCACTCCTTTACATACAAATACATTCATAGCAGAGCACTATCATTTTGGTGAATTATTTTGCCTGAGGTAACTTCTAAAACACAAATCATAATGGAATATGTGTTGTCGAAGGTTTTCATGGCCAAAACCACTGGGTTGCTTGCTGTGAGTTTTCCAAACTGTATAACCATGTTGCAGAAGCATTCTCTCCTGACATTTTGCCCACAACTATGGCAGGCATACTCAGAGGTTGTGAGGTCTGTTTGAAACTAGGCAAGTGGGGTTTAAATATCTGTGGATTGCCAAAGGGAACATCGGTCATGCTAGCACTGTGATAGGGAGATACGGTCACAGACACCCAAACCATTTTAATGTAAATGTTTATGCAGAGAATTGATGGGCTAGTACCTCCCATCACTAGGCTTTTCCCGCAGTCCCAGAAGCTATACGTAGTGCATTATGACAACAATTGTCCAATAAAATAACTTTTACAAACTTTGAACATACCTAAGATCCCCTTTTCCTAGAATCATGAGACTGGAAATCACAGTCTCTCAAAACAGAGCATGAGTTCTTCCCTCTCCCTCATATAGAGGACAGTATTACTTTTCTAGGCAGGCCATTCTGCTTCAGCTTTGTCTTTCATATCATCTTTTAAATCCACCCAACAGATCCCTTGTGACCTCTGGGAAAATACAGAGGCATCATTGGATTTGCAGGCTGGCTGAGATCGTGCAGTAGTACTATTTTTGTGAAGGGCTATATCCATGTGGGTTGTATATCTCCAGTTGGCCACCAACATAGAAACTGGGATGAGTACACACACAAGCAAATTGAAAGTAATAGTTTGTCCAAAGGCTGCCTCTGTGTCTTGTCCTGCCTGTGATTGCAGTGTTGCTGCATTGTTAAAAAATATTCATAAAAGAAAACAGGAACTTGCCTTATATCTCTACTCAGGAAGGAATTTAATCGACCTAATTTTAACTAATGCAGTGGCGCAGTTGATTAAAGTGCTGAGCTGCTAACTTGCTGACCAAAAGGTTGGCGGTTTGAATCCAGGGAGTGGGGTGAGCTCCCGCTGTTAGCCCCAGCTTCTGCCAACCTAGCAGTTTGAAAACATGCAAATGTGAATAGATCAACAGGTACTGCTTCTGTGGAAAGGTAACGGCGTTCCATGCAGTCATGCGAGCCACATGACTTTGGAGGTATCTACGGTATCTTTGGGTTAGAAATGGAGAAGAGCACCAACTCCCATAGTCAGACACGACTGGACTTACTGTCAGGGGAAAACCTTTACCTTTACCTGTCTTTACCTAATTTTAACTACAATACTTTGCCTCTAGGTTTGAAGCCCCTTCATACCTTGGACAACCAACTCCTTATTGTAGCAAATGCCCATATGCATTGGGACCCTGAATATTCTGATGTAAAACTTGTCCAAACAATGATGTTTGTCTCTGAGCTGAAAAGCATCCTTGAGAAAGCCTCTGGTAGGCCTGGAAGCCCAACAGCAGATACGAATTCCATCCCTCTGGTGCTGTGTGCAGATCTGAACTCGTTGCCTGATTCAGGTACAATGCTTATATTATTTGTCTACCAAAATGGCGGGGAGTGGTCATTTTCAATGTTTTGTGTTTAAGATAATACGCTGTTTTTTATTTGGGGTTTAGGAGATGATAAGAGGGTAGAGCATCATATATCTTCTCCCCCAGCCCCAACTCATCCTTTTTCAAAAGCTTTTCTGCAAACATAGATACGAGGTGACAGTTTGGTGAGTAGGATACTTAAGAGAAAAATGCAGAAGGAAGTGGAGATTTTGTAAAGTTGAGAATAAGATTAATGTATGGAAGGTTTCTGTTAATAAATTAATTGAGCAGCTGGAGGAGTTAGATAATAAAGGTCATTTTAATAATCTTATTAAAGCAAAATGCCTACAGGAGTGGAAGACAAAATTTGGTGCATAATCCAAATTTTATCTTCGTGCTGAGCATTCAACAATCGAGAACAGAAAGTGCATTTCTGCTTACATTGCAAAACCACACATTGTTTCAATGATTGCGCAAGAATATCCAGACTAATAAAACTAATTCAAGTGTAGAGAAGCAAACAGAGCGCTTAGTCAGACAGATGTTGCAGAAAATGAATTCAAGAAGAATGTTCTTTGATTGCACAAGTGATTTTTGAACTGTTTTGAGACATGCGATGCAATCCTGTACATATTTAGAAGTTAATCCTACTATGTGGAATGAGATTTATGGCTCAGTCCTAAGAATGTGTACTGAGAAATTGACTTCACAAAATCAAATCCCAGGAATATAAAGCTTCCCTTGACTCCACGGTGCTGAGTAATTACAGGCCAATCTCCAACCTCCCTTTTCTGGGTAAGGTGCTGGAGCGGGTGGTCGCCTCCCAGCTCCAGAGCTTCTTAGACGATACCAACTACCTAGATCAGTCACAGTCTGGTTTCAGGCCTGGTCATGGCACCGAGACAGCCTTGGTCGCCTTGGTGGATGACCTCCGCAGAGAGCTGGACAGGGGGAGTGTGACTCTGCTGGTTCTCTTGGACATCTCAGCGGCTTTCGATACCATCGACCATGGTATCCTTCTGGGTCGTCTTTCTGGGATGGGCCTTGGAGGCACGGTTTTGTCGTGGCTCCGGTCCTTCCTGGAGGGACGAACCCAGATGGTGAAGCTGGGAGACGCCTGCTCTGGACCCCTGGCCTTTGACCTGTGGGGTCCCGCAAGGCTCTATTTGTCGCCCATGCTTTTCAACATCTACATGAAACCGCTGGGAGAGGTCATCCGGAGTTTTGGAGTTGGGTGCCATCTTTATGCGGATGACACACAACTCTACTACTCTTTTCCACCTAATTCCAAGGAGGCTTCTCGGGTGCTGGACGAGTGCCTGGCCGCTGTGTCGATCTGGATGAGGAAGAACAAGCTGAAGATCAATCCCGACAAGACAGAGGTCCTCCTGGTCGATCGTAAACCGGATCGGGGTATAGGGTGGCAACCTGTGTTGGACGGGGTTACACTCCCCCTGAAGCCACAGGTCCGCAGTTTGGGTGTCCTCTTGGATTCTTCGCTCACACTTGAGGCTCAGGTGTCGGCGGTATCCGGGAGGGCCTTTGCACAATTGAGACTTGTGCGCCAGCTGCGACCGTACCTCGTGAAGGCTGATCTGGCCGGGGTGGTCCACGCCTTGGTCACCTCTAGAATGGATTACTGCAATGCGCTCTACGTGGGGCTGCCCTTGAAGACGGCTCGGAAACTTCAATTGGTCCAGCGGGCAGCAGCCAGGATGCTAACCGGGGCTCATTATCAAGAGAGGTCTACCCCTCTGTTTAAGGAGCTCCACTGGCTGCCATTTATTTTCCGAGCCCAATTCAAGGTGCAGGTGCTCACCTACAAAGCCCTGAACGGTTTGGGACCACCCTACCTGCGTGACCGCATCTCCATCTACGAACCCACACGCTCACTCCGGTCATCTGGGGAGGCCCTGCTCGTGATCCCACCCACGTCGCAAGCGCGCTTGGTGGGGACACGGGACAGGGCCTTCTCTGTGGCGGCCCCCCGACTTTGGAATGCCCTTCCAAAAGATCTTCGACAGGCCCCTACTTTAGCAGTTTTCAGAAGGAACCTAAAAACCTGGCTGTTCCGATGTGCCTTCTCAGATTAGGAATCCCCCATCCCAAGTCCTAGAAGCACTTTAGCACAACCGATGTTACTGCACACCGCACCTTTAATCCTACGTTCCTCCTACCATTTCAGCACTTTAACCCCTGTACCCCATTACGCCGGCCGAACCAGTTTTAATAGTGTCTTGATGTAGTTATTGTTGTTATTTTGCTTAATTGTTTTGATTTGCTTTGTTTATTATTGTGTTATGTTTTTATTGTATTGTGTTTTGAGGCTTCGGCCTGTGTAAGCCGCATCGAGTCCTGCGGGAGATGCTAGCGGGGTACAAATAAAGTTAATAATAATAATAATAATAATAAGACCTTGTGCTTCCTGAAGCAGCCCTTAGGAAGCCAGCTTACTTTTCTAATACTAGAATAGAGGGAAGCAGAGTGAACTGGTTTCTTTTGCCGAATTATTGAATGTCCAATCAGATGTTGCCCAGGGGAGTTACCATTTATAACATGAACTAAAATAAATTAAAAGGTTCACCATAACTCCAAGAAAATACAGTTCTATGTGCGTGTATGTGCCTTTGAGTCACTTGTTGACTGGCCCTTTTAATGATAGGTGTTGTTAGATTAGAAATGCTACTGGGAGTGCCATTTCCCCAAACTGCCAATAGCAAGTGGCTGAACTGCTTTGGTGATCCTTCTTTTTGCTGTTCAAGAAAATGTCTATACTGTCAGTGTCCTTGGTGCTGGTGATACCTGTAAAGCTCTAAACCAGTGTTTCTCAGCCTGGAGGTCGGAACCCCTAAAGGGGTTGCCAGGGGGTGCCAGAGGGGTCACCAAAGACCATCAGAAAACACAGTATTTTCTGTTGGTCATGGGGGGTTCTGTGTGGGAAGTTTGGCCCAATTCTATCATTGGTGGGGTTCAGAATGCTTTTTGATTGTAGGTGAACTATAAATCCCAGCAACTACAACTCCCAAATGTCAAGGCCTATTTTCCCCAAACTCCACCAGTGTTCACATTTAGCATACTGAGTATTTGTGCCAAGTTTGGTCCAGATATAGTGCTCTCTGTAGATGAACTATAACTCCCAAACTCAAGGTCAATGCCCACCAAACTCTTCCAGTGTTTTCTGTTGGTCGTGGGCATTCTGTGTGCCAGGTTTGGTTCAATTTCATCATTGGTGGAGTTCAGAATACTCTTTGATTGTAGGGGAACCATAAATCTCAACAACTACAACTCCCAAATTATGTTTCATAACAGGAGCAAAATTACAATTATGAAGTATCAAAAGAATGTTATGGTTGGGGGTCACCACAACATGAGGAACTGTATTAAGGGGTCGCGGCATTAGGAAGGTTGAGAAACACTGCTCTAAACTAAGGTTCATTCAACTGAAACAAAGCGATAAATATGCACCTATGATGACACATCAATATTTGGTCATTACAAATACTCTCTTTTCATCTTTCAAAACAGGTGTTGTGGAATACTTAAGTAATGGAATAGTCGCTGATAACCATAAAGACTTCAAGGAGTTGCGGTATAATGATTGTCTCGTGAACTTCAGCGGCAATGGAAAGAATGGGGCTTCTGAGGGAAGAATCACTCACGGTTTCCAACTCAAGAGCGCCTATGAAAACAATTTGATGCCTTATACTAATTACACCTTTGATTTCAAAGTAAGTAGTAAATTGGCAGAAAATAGCCAAATATTTATCTTAAGGCCATTATAGTGATATTGTATTATGCTAATAATGCAATATATTGTATGTATAATATATCTTGTAAGCCGCTCTGAATCCCCTTCGGAGTGAGAAGGGCGGCATATAAATGTCGTAAATAAATAATAAATAAATTTCAATGCCATTTCTTACTGAAAAACTGTTAACGCAGTTTTCCAGTTAGAACAAGCACAAAACCAATGGTGAATGAGCTCGTCTTGGTAAACAAAAGAAAATAAAATCCTCACTGTCCCAGATAAAATTGCAATATAAAAACCCTCATCTTCCCCTAAACTTATGCAATGGAAATAAAGTGTTCCTTGTTTACACAGTAGTTTCTTCCACTATTCTCATCAGCTTTGCAGCTTCAGTTTCTTTCAAGGGCCATGCTGAAAAACACAATCAAAACACTCCCGACAGATGGTCATCCAGCCTCTATTTTAAACTCTTCTAGAGAAGGAGATTGCACCACAATACAAGGCAGCATATTCTACTGCTGAACTGTTAGTTCTCTTGGACCTCTCATAGGCCTTTGATACCACAGACCTCGGTATCCTTCTGGGATGCCTTGCAGGAATGAGACTTGGAGGTACTATTCTGCAGTGGCTCCGCTCCTTCCTAGGCCTCTCCCAGAAGGTGGGGGAGACCTAGGGTTCAGTACCGTTCCTCATGTTGTTTAACATTTACATGAAGCTGTTGGGAGAGATCTTCCGAAGTTTTGGTGTTCAGTGTCAATTGTATGCAAATGATGTTCAACTCAGTCACTCCTTTCCACCTGTTGCTAAGAAGGCTGTTCATGTCCTGAACCAGTGCTTGGCAGCTGTGACAGTGGATGAGAGCAAACAAATTGAAATTGAATTCAGACAAGACAGGGCTACTCCTGCTCAGTCGAAAGACCAAACAGGGTATAGGATTACAGCCTGTGCTGGATGAGGTTCAACTCCCCCTGAAGACACAGGGTCATAGCTTGGGAGTTTTCCTGGATTCATTGCTGAGCCTGAGTCTTGGCAGTGACCAAGGTAGCATTTGCACAATTAAAACTTGTGCACCAGTTACGCCTGTACCTTGGGAGGTCAGACTTGCCCACAGTAGTCCACACTCTTGATTACATCCCAAATAGACGACTGCAATGCACTTTACGTGGGGTTGACTTTGAAGACTGTTTGGAAGCTCTAAATGGTCCAACGGATGGCAGGGCAGCATACAGGGAACATGTAGCTCCCCTATGCGTCAGCTCCACTGGCTGCCCATTTACTACCGAGCACAATTCAAAGTACTGGCTTTGCCCTATAAAGCCCTAAACAATCCTGGCCTAGCTTACCTATTTGAACAGATCTCCCTCTATGAACCATCACAAAGATAAAGAACTTCTGGGGAGGCCCTGCTCTTGGTCCTTCAGGCGCGACTGATGGGGACGATAGACAGGGCCTTCTCAGTGGTGGCCCCTCAGCTATGGAACTCCCTGCCCAGTGATATTCAATCAGCTCCTTCCCTTTTAGCCTTCAGGAAGAAAGTTAAAACATGGCTATGGGACCAAGCTTTTGGAGATTAACTGCAGTTCAATAAATGAACAAAGAATTTGTGCAATGACATTTTGGAATGGCCCTGGACTACGACATTGGATTATGTGATTTTAATAATTGATGTAACTGTTTTTATGTGATTTTTCTTTTAATGCAGATGGTTTTATCAATTGGATGTTTTTAAGGCATTGAATTGTTGCTAATATGTGAAGCCGCTCTGAGTCCCCCTTGGGATTGAGAAGGGCAGGGTACAAATATAGTAAATAAATAAACAAACAAACGGCTCTTACCATCAGGAACATCTCCCTAATGTTTAGGTGGAATCCCCTTTCCTGCAATTTGAATCCATTGCTCTGCTGTGTGCTAATCTCCAGAACAGCAGAAAACAATCTTTTCCCCTCCCTAGTATGATGCCTTTTAAATATTTAAGCACGGTTGTCATGTATCCTCAAACTTTTCTGAGCTGAACATCCCCAGCTCCCCAAACCACTCCTTATGGGGCATGACTTTTACATCTTCCTGTTTACTACAATAGTGATATCCTTTGCTCCATTGTGTCCTAGTCTTTGGAGCAGCAGAAACTAAGTTTGCCTCCTCCCCAATAGTGACATCCTTTCAAATATTTAAACACGACTCCCAGGTCCCCTCTCAGCCTTCTCCAGACTAAACATACCTACCTTTCTCAGACTTTGCTTCCAGAGGATTTATGAAGATTCTGTTCTAAATGGCCACCTGTGCTTCTCTCTTTTGTCTCATTTCAGGGTGTGATTGACTACATTTTTTATTCCAACACTCACATGAACGTGCTTGGTGTCCTGGGGCCTTTGGACCCTCAGTGGCTGGTGGAGAACAGCATCACCGGGTGCCCCCATCCCCACATCCCCTCAGACCACTTCTCACTGTTGACGCAGCTGGAGCTCCACCCTCCCTTCCTGCCTCCCCTCAATGGCATCCACTTGCCGGCCAGGAGGTAGTGGAGCCCCGCCCCTTTGTTTATGGACCTGTACACTTGTAAATCAAAGTATGTAGGAGGAGTGAAGTATGGCCAACCTTTTAAAAGCTGCTGCTTCGAGCTCCTTTCATTATATGTGTGTTGATGATACGATTTTGCACATTTTTGGGGGTGCATATTGGTACCATTTGGCACTAGGGCTGGAACCAAAGTTGTTGTTTGTTCCCTTTTTTTCCAATTGTTTTTAAGATGCACATTTTCGCACGCATTTTAAACTTGACAAGCTTCATCAGTTTTCGTAGAGAAGCTGCTTTTATAAACAGACAAATCAGACGGGAGGATTTGCAAATAGGTATATACGTTCATAGCTAAAGCTTTCCTTATAAGTTAATAAAAAGAGCCGTGCCTCCTTTTCCTTGCTCATCCCCTTTTAAGCACCCTGATACAATTGATGTGAAATGTTTAAAATTGGAAACGGCACTTAACGTTTTGAAAATTATTCACAGAACAGACTGTTTTCACCTCATCTGGTGCCTACACTAAATTAATTATCGAAGGCTTTTGTGGCCAGAATCACTGGGTTGTTTTAAGTTTTTTGAGCTGTATGTCCATGTTTCAGAAGCATTCTCTCCTGATGTTTCACCTGCGTCTATGACAGGCACCCTCAGAGGTTGTGAAGTCAACAGACCTCACAACCTCTGAGGATGCTTACCATAGATGCAGGCGAAACGTCAGGAGAGAATGCTTCTGGAACATAGCCATACATCCTGAAAAACTTACAACATGCACTAAAATTGGTGCAATAGGGGAGACTTTCTGATTGGAAAAAAATAATGTTGCCCCAATAGAGATTTTTCCCCTTTATGTACGGTGAATTGTGCACCTAAAGTCAATTGCAAGAATTCGGTTCTGCTTCACGTTCCAATCCAGTCCACAAGTCCCTCCAATTCTTTTAAAACTAGTTCCACTCCTAGCAAGGATTTTGTATTATCCCACCGATGATTAGGAGTGGAGACACAACTTGCTTCTACCTTCGCTGTTCAGAAAGTATTTGCCATAATCATTCCTCGACTGATTTTTTTTTCCTGACCCTAGTCGCCAAATAGCCATCTCACGCTTTTAAATGATGGTTTTGTTTTGTTTACCTGTTTTCTATCTAAATTGGATCCTTTTAAAGGCGTTGTTTTATTACCAATAGTTAATCGCTCTCCCTTTTCTGTAAGATGTGCTTGGAAACTCTTCTCTTTCCTGGCCATTTTCAAACCTTTGTGCATCCAGAGAGAAGAAGGACTCATAATGTCATCTCAGTACCTAACATTTCATCCATCATCCACTGAAGTCATTGGAGGTTGTTTAACAGTAGTCTTTTAGTAGATTGAGCTGTGCTTTTATGTTTCAAAGAACAACAAAGGCAAAGTGACAAGAAAGTATGTTATTTTAAAAAGTTTTTCTGTATTCTGCTTCTTTGCTGCTATATACGATTCCTCAAGCTTATATTTTAAACTTTTCATGCACTTTACTGTTTCTAGTCTCAAAAAATGTAATATTTTTAATAAATGGGGATTGTTTTCATTATGGGAATGATTTTTTAAAGAGCCTATATTTGTCTCATTCATACACTTTAAAAATTAAAGGAGTAAAACAGTAAAATTAGTTTTAAATCCTGTTGTATAGAATTGTCTCCCTTCCCATTTGCTAGCGATGTATAAAATGACAAAGGAAATTTTGAATCAGGCTAAATAAAATAGGAAATACTCCTCCCCCCTTTTGTTGCAATGGTAGGGATGGGCCAGAGGGGAGCCAGTTGCCACAGGGAAGGCTAAAATTTGTGAAACTCTTTGCATAATGTGTTGAAAATTCAAAATTGAAGTAAACAAGCGGCTGCTGTTGAAAATGGCACCTCCAGATTCAGCTTCATCTCTCTCAAAATGTTTTTCCCCATCTTACCGCCATGTCATTCTGTCTTTCCCCATCCCTTATTCCATTACCATCAGCTTCCTCTGGCATCAAAAAAGAAATGATCAAGAATATTTTAATTAAAAATACTGGGGCAGGAGAAAGAATATGAGATCAAAACATAGACTTGCTGAGTTTCCATTTGAAGAGCAACTCTGTGTTTCTGTCCAAAGCGCAAAACAGTTTAAGAAGCATGATAAGTTTTCTCCATTGGAAGATAACGTTCCCCTTCTGCAGCTGTAATATGGACACAGGTATCTCTCCTTATATACCTCAAAAAGTGTTATCAGTGCCAGGGAAAAGTTGTCTGGGGTGCATCTACACTGCAGAATTAATGCAGATCGACACCACATTAATTGCCATGTCTATGCTTCTGCCAAAGAGTACTGGTGCCTCATCCAAACTGCAACTTTCATGATTTTATAGCATAGAGCAGTGGTGCCCAATCTTTGATCCTCCAAGTGTTTTGGACTTCAGCTCCCACAATTCTTAACAGCTGGTAAATTAGGATTTCTGGAAGCTGCAGTCCAAAACAACTGGAGGACCAAAGGTTGGGAACCACTGCTATGAAATCATGAAAGTTGTAGTTTGGATGAGGCACCAGCACTCTTTAGCAGAAAAGCCAAAGTAAAATTACAACTCTCATTATTCCAATAGCACTGAGCCATGGAAGCTGAAGTGATGTCAAACTGCAATAATTATACAGTGTAGATGCGTGCGTTGGAGTCTGTAGCTCCCAGAATTCCCCATTAGTCATGCTAACTGGGAGATTTTGAGGGTTTTAGTCTGTATTGTAACTATATATCTGACATGGCCGTATATATATATATAAATTGGAAAAGCAATATAGTACTGGAAAGTAGAATAGCATGAAAAACTTTATTTTGTGGACATTCACCGTTTCAGTTCGTTTTTGTGAGGACACACAACCCGCTGGGAGGTTCTCCCGATCCAGCCCCATTGAAATGAATGGGAATTGCCAACTCCTAATTCATGTCATTTGGGCTTGGATAGGAGAATGTACTGCTGGGTTGTGTTCCCCAAGTCATCTACTGTTTCTTCACTTTGGAGGCATTACAAAAAACAACGATCTTTCCTGCTCTGGAGGTAATGCACTAACCATTTTCCTTCCTTCTCTCTCTCTCTCTCTCTCTCTTTCCTATGTGCATGTTAATTAGCAACCTGAGCAATATTTCCTACCATACTTCACTCCCAACTATTTTTTGAGATGTTTGTATAAAATGGAGTTTAAAAAAATTCGCCTGTGATTGTATATGAACTGCAGAGGAGCCGGTTTATTAAATAATACAAAAACACACAATCTTTTGTAATGTTGTGGGGCGGGGAGGGGGAGAAATGAAATAAAAACAAGATTGGGAGATATTGTAAACAGCTTAAGTCCCTTCATTGGTTTGGAGTTGTTGTTAAAGGCTGTGTAAGTAATTGGTGCAGGTCGGAGTCAAGAAAGGCTTCTGCTTCAAAATTCATTTGTACCTTCACACTCGTTTGGTTTTTTTTAATCTGTCTTGAAAAACACCAATTATTCTTTTCTTTGAATAATTGTGGCATTACTTTAAATCCAGACAAGCACAATGAAAATATTGCTGTGATGGTGAACTACAAAATTAAGGAACAGCTTTTGATTCAAAAGTGGACACGTTTCCCCTTTCTGTGTTGAAAGCAAATAGTTATTTCAGTCTATGAACACTTAACGAAATAATGGTAAGTAACTTGAGCTTCTTAAACTTTTTAAATGATACTTTTGTATAGGAACATACAGCTTTAACAATATCTATATCAATTTAATAGCACAGGAAGAAAGAAGGAGAAACTGCTGTGCCAAAAAATCACTATAAATCAGTGGTTCCCAACCTGTGGTCCATGGACCACCAGTGGTCCCCAAGAACTAAAATATGGTCCGCGGCCTCACCGTTACTACACGGTTGCAACGAGAGCAACTGATCTTGCGAAGCCTTCTTATAGTGCCGAGGCAACAGAGATGTCGGAAGGGGAGAGGCCTACTACATAGGAAAGGCATCACAACAAACTCCTGACTAATGTTTCTCCTCCTCTTCCTCCCTCCCACTAAGGAGAGCCATTCCATGTGGCGCTTGGATTTGGGGGAGTCTTGGTGTCCGTGTTTTTAGGCCTGTTCCTGGGTTATTTGAGGTGCTAATTCAGAAAATTGTATTGGATAGACCACATCCGATATAGATTATTAAATATGGTTTTCTGTGGGCGACTACTGTGGCATATGTTCGGTTTCGGAAACTAGAGCTGATGTGGTCTATCCAATACAGTTTTCTGAATCAGGACCCCAAATAAGGAGCCCCCGGTGGGAGGAGCCCCCAGTGGCACAGTGGGTTAAACGCTGTGCCGGCAGGACTGAAGACAGACAGGTCGCAGGTTCGAATCCGTGGAGAGGCGGATGAGCTCCCTCTATCAGCTCCAGCTCCTCATACGGGGACAGAGAAGCCTCCCACAAGGATGATAAAAACATCAAATCATCCAGGCGTCCCCTGGGCAATGTCCTTGCAGACGGCCAGTTCTCTCACACCAAAAGTGACTTGCAGTTTTTCACATCGCTCCTGACACAACAAAAAAAAACCCCAAATAACCAAACCAAATCTAAAGTTGACCAAAAACTGATTTGTAACCCTTTTGGTGCTAATGTTGGAGAGTGGTCCCTGGTCAAAAAATGGTTGGGAACCACTGTTTTTAATTATCCTAAGGAAGTTCAGTTTTTAAAAAAACTGGGACAGAAAAATGTTTGAAATCCATGAAGGAATGGTAAATCAGTTTCAAGGATCCATGTTTCTTACAAGAAGAATTTAAAAAGTTTGCAAATGAATTGCAAAATCTGCACCATGGGACACTAGCACACTGGATTAAATGGTCATTTCTGGCAATTGACTCCTTACGTTCAAAGATTTGAAGTTGACAAATTGGCAGTATTGAAAGCAATCATTTTCCTCTGTTGATGCTATTTAATTAATGTTTAACAACCTCATATCCTTCTCAAAAATTAAACGTAATTCATGTTAGCGAACAGAGAATACAGTGTTCAGTCCATGCACCTCCATTCTTCACAGTTTGTGGTTTTGACCTTTGTGGACTTGGTTATTCACAGATTTAATTCAAACGTTCTCTCTACGAATACCTTTTTCCAATGACATTCTGTGAGCAACTTCCAGCAGAAGTTAAACATATAGTCATGTTGGAAAGTCCCTAGAGAGGTGTTCTCTCAAGATAAAGCCACTTTTGAATATCACAGTTTGATACTTTAATGGTGTTCTGTGGGGGGCACAGTGGCTGAACTGCTGATCTGAAGATTGCCAGTTCAAATCCGTGAAACAGAATGAGCTCCTGTCTGTCAGCACTAGCTTGCGGGGACATAAGAGAAGCCTCCCAGCAGGATGGTAACACATCTGGGCATCCTCTGGGCAACATCTCTGTAGATGGCGAGTTCTCTCACACCAGAAACAACTTGCAGTATGTTCTCAAGTCACTTCTGACATGATTTTAAAAAATGGTGTCCTGTAACCAGAAAAAGCTTAGAGAAGACAATTATGCTGGGGAAAATGGAAGGAAAAAAGAAGAGGGGCCGACCAAGGGCAAGATGGATGGATGGTATCCTTGAAGTGACTGGTTTGACCTTGAAGGAGCTGGGGGTGGTGACGACCGACAGGGAGCTCTGGCGTGGACTGGTCCTTTAAGTCACAAAGTTGGAAACGACTGAACGAATGAACAACAAACTCAGAAAAAAGCTCACTGGACTTAAAATCCTTTCATTTTAGACTAATCTAGATATTTTGCATGCTTATCAATCAATTACTTGAAAACTTGGCTAGAAACTGAATGCGTTCTTAGAGCAAATTTACATTCCTAGTGCTTTACTTTTTTAAAAAAAAAAATATGACCCAGTTGCTGATACCTCCGTTCACTCATCTTCAAAGGACGCTGGTGTTTTAAATTGCTGGGGTTTTTAAATATATATTAGTTTTAATACATCAACAGTCTAATCAATATTCCAGAAAACAAGGAAAAGGAAAAAGAGATACATACATATATATATATATGAAGCTAAAAAAAAATACTAAAATGTGAAACTAAATTTTAAATTGCTAATACAAGACACTGAAACAAAAAAGGAGCTCTGACTCCCTCTCCAAACTGTAATAAAAAAGCCCAAAAGAGAAATATGTTTTCTACCATCCAACCAAATTAACATTACTAGAGTTACTAGTATCCATAACTACAGATTGATTGCATTGATAGATTTCTTATTGATCAAAAAGTCCATGAACGTTTTCCATTCTTTCAGAAAAATCTTTCAATTGGTTTCAGTTTTAAAATCCACATTTATTTGGTCGTTGAGACAAAACCAGCATGCTTAACCATCTTTTCTTCCAGAATAACTATTTCAGTCCGTTTTCAGTGCTCCAGTCCATTTCCAATCATTGGAGTTTTATACTGTAGTTTTGAGTAGAGATACAAAGATGAAGTGGTGATAGTAGGATATGATGATTTCGCCTTCGGACTTCTCATACATTTGGCAGCCTTGAGTAAAGTTCATTTGGAGTCATTTGCTATAATTTGTAAAAGGGAAACATGTTGAACATCATGACATGAGCCAGGATTTCTCTGAAGACTTTCAGAGCAATAAATAGCATAGCCACAAAAGTGATGCAACAGAAGTGCTGGAAAACATGGGATCATAGCTTGGATATGGAGTTACTCATTCATACCATCATAGAACTAACTGTAGAGACGGAAAGTATCTCGGGAGTTTTCTAATCCAATGCAGAAAATCCATAAGTATTCCTAACAGATGGTCAAACGTTTTTAAAACTTCCCATAAAAGAAAGTTCACCACTTTCTAAGGAAGTCTGCTCCATTGTCCAACAGTTCTTAGTATCTAAATGTTCTTGCTAGCTTTTACCTGAAACTCTTTTCTGCCATTCCAATGTGTTTATTTAGTTCGTAGTTATCTAGAGCCGCCAAATATCATTTTTTTTTCCATCTTGAAGATGACCATCTCCTCAAGGCTTTCTTCTCCAGGTTCAATATATCGAAATCATCCACTGCTATTTGCACACCTCCCCACCCCCCAAAAATAATAAATATACCCATGAGATTGCTCAGTGTAGTTGGATACTTTATTTCAGGAACTATAAAATAAGATATGGAAACTGTGTCCCTGCAGATGTTTTGAGACTACAACTCACATCATCCCCGGTCATTGGGATATGACTGATGGAAGCTGAAGTCCCAACTTTGGCTTTCAGCTTTCCAATAAAACAGTATTGGAATCAAAGAACAAACACAGTCCACTTAGAGCAGTGGTTCCCAACCTTTGGTCCGTGGACCACCAGTGGTCCGCAGGAACTAAAATGTAGTCTGTGGGTTCACTGTTACTACTATGGATAATAACACAGCCCAACCCCAGAATGGTTTTTCTTAGTGTCTTTGTTTTTAGGCCTGTTCCTGGGGTTATTTGGGGTGCTGATTCAGAAAATTATTAAATATGGTTTTCTGTGGGCAAGTAGACTGTGACCACTGGATGGCATATGTTCTGTATCAGAAACTAGAATGGATGTGGTCTGTCTAGTGCAATTTTCTGAATTGGCACCCCAAATAAATAAGTAAGTGAGCTTTATTACAGTCGATGACCAGATCATAACAGGGAACCCAGTCCCGTACATCTACATGAAACCCGAAGAGTTATATGCTTCGAACTTCAACAAATTTTAAAATTTAAAGTAGTTATTAAAACCCATCCAATCATCCGAAGGCAGTCTAAAGAGAGGTAGTGAGGATGGCACCGGGGAGGGAGGAATATCCAACACTACAAATATCAGTCTATATCTGATTTCCCATCTATATTCCAGAGGTGAAGCTTAAGTCTTTTAACCCTCAATCATTGTCTGCCCAATGTTAATTGCAGCCGTGAAGAACTTAGCGAAACTGTACATCGCAGCCGAGTTTGTGTCTGAGAGCAGCAGAGCTACATAGAATTGTCCAGAGCATACTGAGTATTTAATTGTCCATGGCAAGAAGAGACAAGATCGAATGTTTCTGTAAAACAGGCACTGCAGAAGCATGTGCTCCGTTGTTTCTGTGTGACCTGAATCACAGGGCCATAGTCTCTCAGAGTATGGGGTCTTCTGGCAACGACTTTCCAGTACAGCAGAAGGAAGCACATGGCATTGTGCCAAGGTGAAGGCTCTCCAATGGGTAGCAACCTCCAACACAGTAACATAGGATTGTTGTTGTGTGCTTTCAAGTTGTTTCAGACTTAGGTTAACCCTGAGCGAGGGCCGAGTAAATGATCTTGGAAGGCCGTATCCGGCCCCTGGGCCTTAGTTTGGGGACCCCTGGTTTAACCCATTTTGACACCCTGGCTGCTCAGCCTGAGGGTAATTTTATATAATATATACCAAGGCAATTTACTGGTCAGCTTACTTCTTATCCAATTAACTGACTTCAGACAGTTGTTTCTGCTTCAACACCGGCTCTTACCTTTATTTACATTTCAATAATGTTGTGTATTTGCATCAGATTTTGTTTACACCTAACCATTAGAAAGCAAAATTAATCGTATGTCAGACACCCATGTGGACGGAGCCCCCGGTGGTGCAGTGGGTTAAACCCCTGTGCCGGCAGGACTGAAGACCGACAAGTTGCAGGTTCGAATCTGGGGGTAGGCGGATGAGCTCCCTCTATTGACTCCAGCTCCTCATGTGGGAACATGAGAGAAGCCTCCCACAAGGAATATAAAAAATATCAAATCATCCGGCCGTCCCCTGGGCAACGTCCTTGCAGACGGCCAATTCTCTCACACCAGAAGCGACTTGCAGTTTCTCAAGTCGCTCCTGACATGAAAAAAACCCCCCCCCCCAAAAAAAAAAAAAACCAACCATGTGGACCATTTTGGATTATTTCAGAATCCCAGGTTAAGGATGCACAACAAATAATTACTAGGTTAAAGTCCCTCCTTTTTCCAAATGCGTATGTCCAAGCCTTACCTCTTCGTCACCTTCTTAAGCAGTTCTTGCACCCAAGGAACACTGGGATTGACACAGACTTTCCATTTATTTTTCAGGGTTAAACTGCAATGAAATTGAGAAGAAATGAGTCTTTTGCTTCACATATTTTTCAGTGGCTGGTTGCTAAATAGGTGTACATGGTCTCCTTACTTACATGATTTCAGTCCTTTGGCACTGCATCCCGTGAGGAATAACCTGAATGGATTTCAGCTGTTTAGGACTGAAAGGTGTCGAAGTTTGTTTCAAACACCTGCACCTTCCCACATGAGTCACGATGGCTTCCATGGCGAGACCTGCATACAATTATCATGGTGGGAAAAATCTATCATTTCCACTTTTCATGCATTATTATTTAAGGGGATCGTGTCCTTCGCTTGAAGAAACCCCCAGTCTTATTTCCCAGCACAGCTAAGGAGCTACGTGTGTGTGTGTGTGTGCTACACAATTATATAAAATTCGACACCTAGAATTCTATACAAGAGACTTCTAACCCACTTCCCTGATAATGGGGTAAGCAAAGAATTCTGTGTGTACTACAAATTCCAGAACTCCAAAGGATGAAGCTATGGCAATTATACAGCTATGAAATAGTTGTTGAATGTTATCACTCTATCACAGTGTTTGTCAACCTTCCTAATGCTGCAACCCCTTAATACAGTTCCTCATGTTGTGGTGACCCCCAACCATAACATTATTTTTGTTGCTACTTCATAACTAATTTTATTTACATTATGATTCATAACATCTGTTATGAATCGTAATGTAAACATCTGCCATGCAGGATGTATTTTCATTCATTGGACCAAATTTGGCACAAATACCCCATACACCCAAATTTGAATAATGGGGGGAGAGATTGATTTTGTCATTTTGGAGTTGTAGTTGCTGGGATTTATAGTTCACATTCAATCAAAGAGCATTCTGAACTCCACCAACAATGGAATTGAATCAAACTTGGCACACAGAACTCCCATGACCAACAGAGAATACCAAAAGGGTTTGGTGGCCATTGACCTTGAGTTTGGGAGTTGTAGTTCACCTACATCCAGAGAGCACGGTGGATTCAAACAATGATGGATCTGGACCAAACTTGGCATGAATACTCAATATGTCCATTGTGAACACTGGCGGAGTTTGGGGGAAATGGACCTTGATATTTGGAAGTTGTAGTTGCTGGGATTTATAGTTCACCTACAATCAAAGAGCCGTCCTGAGTCGCCTTCCGGTTGAAAAGGGCAGAATAACATGTGGTAAATAAATAAAAATAAATAACTTCTGAACTCAGCCCACAGTGAATATGTACCAAACTTGACAAACTATCTACATGGCCAACGTTGAATACTCTTGGTGTTGGGGGGATCTGTTTTTGAATTCTGGGAGTTGTAGTTCGCCGACACCAAAAAGGAAAAGAAGGACAGATGGAAAGATCTTCAGCCTTCTCTACCAAAGGGGTTCCTAAGACCATCAGAAATATGTGTTTTCTGGTGGTCTTTGGTGACCCCCCAGAGGTCCTGACCTCCAGGTTGAGAAATACTGCTCTATCACACAAATGGTAGCAAAACCCAGCCTGCACTTGGTAAACTTATTTTAAAGAATTCCTGAAGTTATAATCCAACAAAAGTAATATTTCCAAACTCTGGCCCTACATCAGATTAATGAAATTGAAATAATACAGGTTCCTTACCATGGACTGTAGTGATATTGGTGGCCACCAGAGCCAAAGTCAGGATCACCACCAGCCCCTTCATTATGACTGTGCCTTGATATTCTCAGTAGCAGTGGTTTCAGAAAGCTCTCTCCTTTATAACCACCCCTAAAATGGGAAGTTGGAGATAATACATCCTGTAGCCAAAAACTCCCCCACAATAAACCAAAGAAATCGAATTAGGCTAGAATATGTGGGTGTTGGTGTTTTAACTTCTCCTCAGAGTTCTTCCTCAGAGCTAAATAAAGCCGCTCAGACCAAAGGGTTCTTCCAGAAGTTATGCAAATATGAAGCAAATAATGAGGTCTTCCACCCCGCTGGGATGACTGAGATTCTCTCACGAAGGACCCATTGAAGGGATCAGTGTGAAATGGGACTCCCTGCTTCTTATAATGGGATAGGCAAAGAAAATGCAACAAGCTATGGAAACATAACACAACTTTCTAGGCAGGTTTTTGTTTTGTTGCTAGACAAAACTACATCTGGATCTTCTATGCCAAAGTTGTTCTATTTAGTTAACAAAGTGACCCATTTAAGGTGGAATCAGGTGTCAAACAGGGATGTGTTATTGCCCCAACTTTATTCTCCATCTTCATTGCTATGATACTTCACCTTGTTGATGGGAAGCTTCCCACCGGAGTGGAAATCATCTATCGGACAGATGGCAAGCTATTTAACCTCAGCAGACTGAAAGCCAAAACCAAGGTTACAACAACATCTGTTATAGAACTCCAGTATGCTGATGATAATGTCATCTGTGCGCATTCAGAAGAAGACCTACAAGCCACTCTAAACACCTTCACAGAAGCATACGAGAAGCTCGGCCTGTCACTGAATATCAAGAAAACCAAAGTGCTCTTCCAGCAGTCACCAGCCAATCCCTCTCCAATGCCAGAGATATAGCTTAATGGTGTAACATTAGAAAATGTTGACCATTTCCGCTACTTTGGCAGCCACCTCTCCACTAAAGTCAACATTGACACCGAAATACAACACCGCCTGAGCTCTGCGAGTGCAGCATTTTTCCGAATGAAGCAGAGAGTGTTTGAGGACCGGGACATCCGTAGGGAGACCAAGGTACTTGTTTATAAAGTTATTGTCCTCCTAACGCTGTTATATGCCTGCAAAACATGGACTGTCTATAGACGTCACACTCAACTCCTGGAACGATTCCATCAGCATTGCCTCCGGAAAATCCCGCAAATGTCTTGGAAAGACAAGTGGACAAATGTCAGCATGCTGGAAGAAGCAAAGACCACCAGCATTGAGGATGCCTGCCATAGATGCATGTGAAATGTCAGGAGAGAATGCTTCTAGAACATGGCCATATAGCCTGAAAAACCTACAACAACCCAGTGCCTACTGAATGTTATGTGTCAGAATAAGGTCTTGTAGTAGAAGTGTGTATGTGTGCACATATGTATACTTCAATAAGCCCTTGGTTTGTGCAATTGAACCCTCCCTCATTCTCGGATCCTCATCCTGATGATTTATATTGTCCTATCTCCCCGTTTTTAAAACTTTTAGCCTTGAATGTGGCTAGTGAAACTCTGTTTTTAAATGCATGTTTTATATAGTTTATGTCATTTAGTGTATTTCTTTGCATTTGATATATTTATGTTCTGGTATTGTTATGTTTTTGTATTACAATGTATGTACTGCACTGATGGGCTTGGCCTCATGTAAGCCGCACCAAGTTCCCCTGGGGAGATAAATAAATATTATTATTATTATTATTATTATTATTATTATTGATCTCTCCCTACCTTGGGGAAAATGTCTTCCCACTCCTAGCATAGGCACACCGGTTGCAAGAAGAGATGACATGGGAGAATTTTGTGGTTCCACATTTTAAACTGATGTAAGCTAATTCTCACTTCTACAACTGATAACTAGGCTTGTGCCTACCGTTGAAGCTTGCAGTTCTTTTCTCCAAATTTGCATGCACAAGAATATATATCAGGGAAAGTTTCCAACAAATATAAACATGGGACTTTTTGATATGTTTCATTTTCCTGTCCCCTCAGACTGCAGACGAGTGTTGAAATTGGATGGAACGGTTATGGTGGAGCTGATGCAATACTTTGATGCAAAGGGAAGAGGCTGTTTCATCTAATTGTGAAGTCATGGTGCTTTAAACATCACAGACTACAAACCACAGGTTTCCAGGAATGTCCATCATGTCTGTTGAACTGACTCAACTGAGCAGTGAGATTTGTCATAACAATTGGTGGTTTGAAATAGTCCTCCTTTTCGAAATTACAAATACTGTCACCCTGGTTACCTGATACATTTGATGGACCACAACTTATATAAGCCTAAAATGGTTATAATCTAATATAGTTGGAGGATGTCAATTTACCCTTTCCCTGTACTGATTGGACCCAAATCTCAGTGTCCAGACTGTCCTGAAACTATGTGATACTCCAGAGGTTCTAGTAAACTCTGTCCAAAGTGGGACAAAGTTGGTTTAAAGACCAAAAAAACCAAGCCCCATGATACTCAGTGGAAATCACTGTATGTTATGGGGATGGACAGCCAGCCTTCAATTCACGACGAATCTGGATTTTTTAATTTTTTGCATAGACAAGCCCTAGGTATGAATTAATTTCATTCAACAGTGCTGTATTGGGGAATTGAGGACATTTTGAGCATTCGTATTTTGGAGCAAAGTCCTCCTTTTGCTCTGCATGCAGCTATGTTTCTGCGATGTCCCAGAGTCACTGAGAGTAACTCCTCGTTAAATGTTGCAGACTAACATCGTTCTGGTATAGCCAGGTAATTCCTACCTTTGGCTTATTTCCTTAACAGTTTACAGGAATTGTATCAAAATCGGATACAATGACCTTATTCAAAATATTTCCTCTTTAGTGTGATTGTCTTTCTTTGAGTGACTGAAACTGAGAAAATAACACACACACACCTCTCTATAGATCATTCATGAGATCAAAGACGTCAGCATGATCAGATCTTGGAAAGTTTACTATTTTGGACTTTAAGTTTCAGAATCCTCCAATCAATATGGCCAGTGGCCCTACCAGCTGGAGCATTCTAGATGTTGTAGTCCCAAAAGGTAACCAGCTAGTATCTGGTAATAGTTTAATTATGGACCCTTGATCCACTATCTCTCTGTCCCTGACATGAACATAACACACACCAAATATGGATGGAATTCGGTATGAGATTTACATGTTCATAAGTGGACTTACATGTGCAAGGTTTAGAACAGAGATTGACATGTTTGCAAGTGGATTTACATGTACAGGGAATAGGAGAGACATTTTGTAATGTCTAGAGCAGTGGTTCTCAACCTGGGGTCCCCAGATGTTTTTGGCCTTCAACTCCCAGAAATCCTAACTGCTTGTAAACTGGATGGGATTTCTGGGAATTGTAGGCCAAAACACCTGGAGACCCACAGGTTGAGAACCACTGGTCTAGAGCTTACTGTGGTATTATTACGTAAGCGCCTCCATCATGCAGTAGTAGCCAGGGGAATGACGATGTGCAATAGCTCGATTCAAAATAGGCAGAGACAGGCCCGTAGCCAGGATTTTGATTCGGGGGGGGGGGGGGGGGGGTGCTGAGTCTGAGTGAAAGAGGGTCTACCCTAGCAAACCTTTTGTATCGTTACCCAAATACTTCAATACCAACCATGTTCAATATATCTCAATATGAGATATATTGAGCATGGTGATCAGATCATGATATGAATAAACATAACAGTTGAAATAATGTACCAGTAAGGCCTTTTTGTGGACCACCATGAGAATTTGGGGGGGGGGGGACTGAAGTCCCTCAAGCCCCCCCCCCCCCAACCCAGCTACATGCCTGGGCAGAGGTACGCATTGGGGATGCTCCCTGATGGGCATCAGGACACCAGATAAGAAGTTTAGAAACACATGAAGATTACCAGATGTGCATCCAAAGTGCCCAATGTGCACTGGAAGAATTTGGCTCAGATGTACATCTTTGCATTTCATTAACAAGGTCTTCTTTACAGTTCTATAATATAGCTAGGGTTTCATATAGTTATGAGAGTATAGAATTTCAACCCATACTTTCCAATGTTTTGCAAAGATAGGGCCTGGCACAATTGGGAGAGTGTGTGATGTGATGTAAAATAAACCACGTGTAGTTCACATTTGATAAGCCCACACACTGCCTTGCCAGAGAAAGAAAATATGCCACTCAGGTGAACAATAAAGAACAAGTAGTGTACTCCATGAGGAAGGCTGAGCGAAGAAGATAGATGCTTTTGAACTGTGGTGTTGGAGGAAAGTTCTGAGAGTGCCTTGGACTGCGAGAAGATCCAACCAGTCCATCCCTTCCAGGAAATAAAGCCCGGCTGCTCATTGGAGGGAAGGATAGTAGAGATAAAGTTGAAGTACTTTGGCCACATCATGAGGAGACAGCAAAGCCTAGAGAAGACAATTGATGCTGGGGAAAATGGAAGGAACAAGGAAGAGGGGCCGACCAAGGGCAAGATGGATGGATGGCATCCTTGAAGTGACTGGATTGACCTTGAAGGAGCTGGGGGTGGTGACGGCCGACAGGGAGCTCTGGCGTGGGCTGGTCCATGAGGTCACGAAGGGTCGGAGACAACTGAACGAATGAACAACAACAACAACAGTGTACTCTTCTTAACACAGAACAACATATGTACAATCATATGATCAGTTGCATCGACTCACATAATATCCTTTTAGAGAGATTTAAAATGGCCTTTCTTTGTCCATCTGGATAAACTTCTTCCAGCAGCATATGAAGGAAGAGTACCCTCCAAACTATCTCTCTCTGCTTCTCTGCAAGCACCTGCACAGCTCGAGCCTGAAAAATATAACAGTATCCAAAAGTCCCAGGCTCAGTCAGCTCCCCGGCATAGCCCGACCAATCAGCTTTGTGCATCTTATTTTACAGTTGGCACACACACACACACTAACTGATTTCTACATGTTCCAACAGAGTGTCCCATTAAAATAGGGTCACCTCAAAAAGTCTTCTCCTCTGTCCCTCTTCATCTGGTTACTCAGGGATGGGTGTGTG